CCATTATTACAAGAAATAGCTAAGGCTAGTGCTTGATAAAAACTTTCTGGGGCTGGGAAGATGGCTCAGTGGTTAAGGGTACTTGTTGCTCTCAGAGAGGACAGGATTTGGTTCCCAGCACCCACATGGCAGCTCACAAGCATCCTCAACTCCGGTCCAGGGGAGTGAATCCAATGACCTATTCTGACCTACTTGGGCACCAGGCATACATCTGGCACATAGCCATACATCCGGACAAAACAAACATGATGTTGTTGACAGAGTGCTGAGGAAGGGCAAGAGGGGAAAAGGATATGTTAGATAGGTGTATGGGCTCTGTCCCAAAGTTACTAGGACTCAATCATAGACACTTCACCTTAAGGAATTTATCTCATTCTAATTATTCCACCTCCAAACACCATAGTCTGATTAAATTTCCAGTTACCTAATGCTTCACAATGAGGATTAAATCTCAATATATAACAAGCTGAAGGACATTAAGCCGAAATACCAACGAAGCTGTTAAGTAAACATTGTGAAACACAACTTCAAAGTTATGATCTGACAAGTGCCTAGAGCACAGTTACACACTGACTTGTTTGGAGCCACAGGCTTTACATACAGTTAGCTAGATGGTGATTAAGCCACATCCCTTATGTGAGTTGAGGAACTTGTCTAGGAAGTACATTTAGTTATATTCTATTATTGTTCTACAGAGGCAGATCATTCTGTGTGACAGCACATGTTGAACATAAGCAGACAGATGACAAAGGCCTCAACATTCTGGGCCACATAGTATTCTAACTATAGTATATATCTCTATAAAGCATATTCTGTTGCTTGTCTAGAAATACTTGTCACGGACAGAAATAAATCCAAAATTGAATAACAAGCAATATACTTTCCAACTGTTGATATTCTAACCTTCCATAACTTTTTAAAAGAAAGAATGCTTGTATATGAATGTAGTTTAATTCTTAGGTGACTCAATTACAAATACTAATGTACAGTGATAATCAAGGGGGCTATTTTCATTCTGGGTAATGAGTAGAACAATAACCAGTGTTTTCGCAGATCTTTTTTTTCTTTTTCCTTTTTTGGTTTTCAAGACAGGGTTTCTCTGTTTAGCCCTGACTGTACTGGAACTCACTCTGTAGATCAGGCTGGCCTCAAACTCAGAGCTCTACCTCCTGAGTGCTGGAATTAAAGACGTTCCCAAAGGTGTGGATGCCACTGCCACCACCCACACCCTGCCATTTTCTCAGATTTTAACACTAATGAGCCAACAGTCATATTTTTCATGTTTGTTTATTTCTATATTGCTGTGCTTATAACTTTTCAATCACAAGTAAGTTTTTAGTGCTAGGTATCTTTATATAGTATTATTCAAAAATTTAATAGTTAGAGATGTAGAATAGTTCGAAGCCCTGAGTTCTATTTCCAGTACCACATAAATAAAACACTGTACGCGTCTGTAACCCTAGCACTGAGTGTAGAGATAGAGGGTGGAGACAAGTAGATCCCTGGAGCTCACTGACAAGTCATCCTGGGTAAACTGATGAATTCCAGTGAATGACTATCTAAAGGCATAAGGTGTCTGGTCCCAGGAGGACACACCTTTAATCCTAGCTTTGGGGAGCAAAGGAAGGAAGATTTCTGGTGAGTCTGAGGTCAGATTGTTCTATATAACAAGTTTGGGGCCAGCCAGGAAAAAGTAGTAAGATCTAGCCTTTTTTGATTCTTTTTCAGACAGGGTTTTTCCTGTGTCACAGCCCTGGCTGTCCTGGAACTAAACTCACAGAGATCTGCCTGTTTCTGCCACCTCCAGGGTGCTGGGATTAAAGGAGTCTGCCACCACACCTGGAAATCTAGTTTAAAAAAAAATTAAGACTTTAGCTACACAGCAAGTTCAAGGCCGACCTGGGATAGAAGGGATCTTATTAACAAAAACAAACAAATAATAACAACAACCCTCTAAACCCTTTTTATTTAGAAGAGAACATTTGCTCTGATTTGAAAAACAATATTTTTGCTAAGTGTCTTAGATAGCAATCACTTAATTTTCACAATGATTCTTAATTTTAAAAGATTTCTAAGGTTTGAGGAATTCTCTAAGGCCAAGGTCATTCAATCAAGAGTCAGCCTATCTCTCTCTGTCTTCTGTGTTCCTCTATTACACTTAAAACAGAAGCAACCCAAAAACTTCTGGGTGAAATGCACAGAGTGCTCTTCATTCTGCAGTTAAGTACTATAAACAATAAATACAGGAGGCTAAAAGCCAGGGCCCTGGAAAAGATCAACAAACAACTACCTTCCAATTCCCACTTAGAAAGTAGTTTAAAACTCAGTCCTCATGCCATGCCCCAAACACAAAACTGGAGGGTAAGAATTGCCACAGAGCTCAGTTACTTTACAACACCCTGATCATTACACCTATTGTCCAACTCTTAACTCCTGAAAACCTCCACCATAAACATAGCAAAATAGAAATGTAAAACTAAAAGGCAGAGCCGGGCGGTGGTGGCGCACGCCTTTAACCCCAGCACTCGGGAGGCAGAGGCAGGCGGATCTCTGTGAGTTCGAGACCAGCCTGGTCTACAAGAGCTAATGCCAGGACAGGCTCCAAAGCCACAGAGAAACCCTGTCTCGAAAAACCAAAAACAAACAAACAAACAAACAAAAACTAAAAGGCAACTCAACAAACTTCATAATAAAGTTCCTTAAAAACAAGCTTTATAATGGTTCTTATACTGCAGTAATACTATTGAGTGTTAAGCTAAAGTCTATGCAGAAGTACACACCATTCTGTTATTAAACAGGACACCAGATTTAGCAATCAACCTAAGCCCCAGAGAGTGGCTTCTGCTCCTGGCAGAACTAAACCTTTCTAATATCAACTGCAGAATATACATTTATCTATGTAAAGGCAAGATCCACCTTTTTGTTAGGAACTCAATCTTTTCCATTGAGAATAAAATTTCCTATTCACTCAATCTTATGCTTAAAGCCTTCATAATACAATCATATTTTAGCCCCCACAAACAAGTCTTATTAATTCCCATTTTGTATTAGAAATAACCTAATTGTAGAACTCAATAAAGAACTAGAGGGACAGGGGTCTTTCATTTTCTTAAAGAATTGTTTTCAACTTCAAGACTACTTATCTAACACTAATGACAGCTAACATCCCCAAAGTATCACGCATGTATGTTATTTTTTGTTTTCATAATGAATATATTTTACAAGAATTAGGGCTAGGACAGAGGTGTAGAATTCTGCCCAAGGTCACACCTTGGTAAGTGATGGAAAAGAAGTCGTATCTGCCCACGTAAAAAAAAAAAAAAAAAAAAAAAAACCTCAGACAGAACCTGGTCAGGGATTGCGTAATGATTGGCTTATACTGGATCTAGGGAACCAAGAGTGACATTGACCGGGAAGGGGAGTGGGGGAAGCGTCCAATTTTGGGAAGGGTTGGCTCCGAGGGCCTCTGCCAACAGGAGCTGAAGTATGACCTTTAGTCCAAACCCTCTGCTGAAATCAGACAGCTATTCGGCTCTTTCTCACGTGTGTTATAAATCCACGGAGAGAAAAAGTGGAGTAGAATGGGAGTTTCAGGGTGGCCCAAGACCCCCTTTGTGGCAGAAGTTAAGGTTCAAGTCTGGAGACGAGGTCGGGGGTATGAGTACTGAGTACTTACTGGAGCGCCGGCAATAAAAGTCAACAAGGGCACCCGGTGGAGCTATTTGGCTCTGGGAAGGGACACAAAATGAGACAAGGGCAAAGACTAGGAGAACTGAGGGATTCCCTTCAGGTGACGAGACTGGGACTCAGATTCCTGCAGTAACTGAACTGTCACTGGGCCTCTAACGTCCCAGTTTTGGAGGGAGAGGGACGACCTCTCTGCGAGCCGTTCAGGATTCATTACCTGCCGGGTGGTTGTACAGCGGCCTCAATTTCTCTGGCAGCAACAACTCCACTTTATCCATGAATCGGTGATAGGAGGCCCGCAGGCCTCGGGCGCCGGCAGCTGCCATCTCGGCGGCGTCGGTCAGGATCGACAGCAGCTAGGTAGGAGCGACGCTGCGTCCTCGTTCCTGGCTGACAACGAAGGGCGGCTCCGTCACAGTCTCTCCACAGCGCTAAGGGTCCGCCTCTGCCCGAAGGCGCCCTTCCCCCGGCTCTGCCAGCCCCGGGTCAAGCACCTAAACTCCGCGCCGGGCGAAGGCTGAGGGGGCGGAGCCTCAGCAAAAGCCCGCCCCAGCCCGCCTCCTGCGAGAGGGCGGGGGAGACGGAGGAGGAGTCATGGCAACAGGTGCTAAAGAGGTCGCCTTGCCCCGGCTGCTCGTGCGAGGGCGAGGCGCTTGCGCAGGCCGAGCAGTCCGCTCTAATTGGCCGGCCTCGTGAAGCGGAAGGGGCGGGTCCAGGCGCCACCTGCTTCCGGCTCTAGAGGCCATGTTGGAGAGGGGAAACTGAAGCCGCTTCTTAGTGTCGTCCCTCACTTTGATTAAGAAGGCTGTAGTTAGAATAAGCTTTCTGGGCTTTCGTAGCTCCAGCTAAAGGTGACTCCGCATACCTGTCTGGCTTCCTTTTATTTGCTTATTTTTTTTTTGAGACGGTGTCTTACTATATAATCCAGGCTGGTCTGGATCTCGCCATCGTTCAGCCTCAGCCTCCCGAGTGCTGGGATTGCATGCATGAGTCATCACGCCCTGCTTTTTCCTTCGAGCCGAGGCCAACTTCAGCGGCTTCCGTCATTCCTCTTTTATCCATAGACAATTAAGGAATGGGCTAGAGCGGCCTGAAGCTACGCTCCTAGGGTGAGGGCAATGGTGACGCACGCCGGCTTCTGTCGCTGGTGGGCGTCATCTCGCGAGAAGGGCCGGGAGGGGCGTGGTCTAGGCAGGAGAGGGCGGAGCTCGCGGCCGCCTCCGCCTTCGCCTCCGCCTCCCGCGGGAGGGGGGTCGAGGGAGGGGACTGTTGCTGCTCTCTAGATGTTCTGGGTAGTCTGAGGAGAGAGAGTATGAGGCGAGCTGTGGCCCGGGTGCCGCTGGGCTCCGGGGGAGAAGGCGCGGCCGTGGCCGCCGCCGCCGCCATCTAAGTCGCGGCGCCAGCGAGGCCCGGCGCGCGCATGGTGCTGGTGCCGCTTGGGTGTTGATCGGCCTGTCCCCTCCCTCTTTTCCCTTCCCCACCCCCCGCGGTGGTCTCCCCTTTCCACCCCAGCCCCGGCAGAGCCATGTCTCGGAGTGGCTCCTGCCCGCACCTGTTGTGGGACGTGAGGAAAAGGTCCCTTGGGCTGGAAGACCCGTCCCGGCTGAGGAGCCGCTACCTGGGTGAGCGGGGGCCCCGGGGCGGTGGCGCTGAGGTCGCCGCCCAGAGGTGGGGGAGGGGGCGCCGCCGGGGCTGTTGGCGGTAGGACAGTGCCTCGGCCGGGGCGCCCCGCAGGCTGGTTGTCAAGTGGGGTGTCAGCGATCCGCTCCAGCACCTCCCCCGGCTAAGTCTCCTTTGCAAGCTGCCAGGCGCTGCTCAGGCTGGGCTTCCCTCGGGAGAGCCGGGCTGTGGGGAGTGGGCACTGGCCCGGGAAGGTGTTGGGGTCTCTTGTGCGCTGAGACTCCGGCGAAGACTTGCTGAACCTTACGGAGATGCCACGTTGAGAGTAAAAGTTGGCGCTTTTGCTCTTCTCTGGAGCTGTCGCCGCTCGACCAAAGAGATCAGGTTGTTCACCTTCGGCTTCCGCAGGGGGTTGGATATCTCCCCGAGACGCTGTTGATCACCCTCGGGGACTTCACACCCCTAACATCCCTAGCTGAGTCCAAACCTAGGCAAGACCCGGGAGCCTTCCCCACCCCCGCGCTTTCCCGGGTCCACTCGCCTGTCAGTCCTGTGGACCTCTTTTAGGTGGTGTAGGGTTTCACGTTCCTATTCCCACCCCTGGAAAACACACTTGGCATTTTCGGTTTCTTAGTTAAGCTTTCTAAAAACAATCTTCAGCACCGAGGGCGCAGTATTTCACGTCGTTAGTTTTGTACCGTAAATTTTGTGAGTGTGCTGGGTTACTACGCCCGAGTCAACTGAAAAGTCCTGTTTCTTCAGAGTGCCCCCTCCCCCAACTCTGTCATTTCTTTGCCAGGTAAAGGGATTTGTTGCTGTCATCTGTTTTTCACTACAACAAAAATAGAAGGAAATGAAATCTCAGTACAGCCAATACTATTGGTTGTAAATTACTTAAAAGTAGCTTAGGTGTACATTTTTAAGTTCTTTTCTTATGAATATGTTTTCATTGTAAAAATTCAAATACGAAGAAGCAGCGATCCCCAAGATCGCTCCCATTTCAATTTCATGCCACTGCCCTTAAAATAATGCTTGTTTCTTGGTTGTTTTTTCTAGATAATTTCTTTCTTAAAAGTTCATATATAAAAAAAGGTGTATATCTGCGCATACTCTGTATGTGTGAGAAAACTGAATGCATGGTGCTATAAGCATTGGTTTTCCTCATACTTTTCTTCACTACATTTTGAGATCCTTTCAGACTTAAAGATCGCGTAAAACATTACATAGTACTTTATTAAGGACTTTAATATTCTAAACATTTTTTTTGCCTATTTAAGTTTTTCTTTTTTGAAACAGTGGGCTCCCTAGGCTAGCCTTAACTTTTATCTCAGCCTACTGATGGTTGGGATTACAGTGTGTGTATGTGCGTGATATGCGTGTACCTGACCTTGTCCCTTTTTCTTTAACTATGTGTTCACTGTCACAACTATGTGCAAACATCATTTACATATGTTGCAGTAATTACCAAGAGTGCTTGTTTTTAATATTTTAAAACCCTTTAAAAGTCCTTGACCTAAAAAAGGTGTGCAAATTTATTTTAAAATTTGTCTAGAAAGAACAGAGTTTTACTTTAATAAAGCAAATTGTAACAATTTGTGTGAGTGAATTTATAATTTGGTCTTTTATTTCAATTAGTTGGGCAGTTTTAAGTGTTTAGTTTTGTATTTTTAGTATTTCTGATTGAGTTCTGCTGTGTATGATAAAGTTGAGGAAGCTACAGTTGCAGTGCTTTCAAGATGTCTAAGCAGGTTATTAGGCACTTGCCACAAAGCCTTGAGTTTGATCCCCAGGACCTCACACATTGCAAAGAAAGAACTGACTACTCCTGAGCGTTGCCCTCCCCACAATAAGTGAGCAAAATGTATTCAAAAGTTAAAAACTGACAGATATATTCTGTTCTCCAGTGGAGATGGGATTTGTGTTAGGGGCAACTAGCTTGAAATTTAAGACTCCACTGATTATTAGGAAGCCTGAGTCACAAACTCTCCCATAGCCTAGTGCACTTGTAGGAAGCTCTTTATCTCAGACAGTCTCTGTGTATAACTGGGGGAGGAGAGGTGGACTTTGAGACAGTGTTACACTGTAGCCCAGCCTGTCCTCTAACTCTTGATCCTCCTGCCTCACTCCTACATTCTGGGCTTACTGGCCTATGCCACCATGTTTAGCTTAAAGTAACTTAAGTATAACAATGATGCATACCTTATGTTAATACTTTGAAAGATTTTTAGCTGAGTTAGTTGGAGAACCCCTTTAATCCCAGCACGTCCAAGGTAAGAGGGGAAGGATCAGGTGTTCAAGGCCGTCTTTGGAATAGAAACTACAATCAATCTAATTAATACCCCTCACCTAATAAGTTTCTCATTGTGCACATGAGGGCATGTAGGGGTGGTGGATAAAAGTGCTCTTATAATACCCCCTTTTTCTTGAGGAAGGAGGTTTGCTGAGAGACTGACGGATATTAAATGAAACTCTTATCTCAAAAAGGGGTGGGGGGCTTTTAAATCCCAAGTACAAAGAACTTAGAAAGTATATTGATTTCTTAAAGATGTCAAGTTTTGAACATTGTAATTATTTAGGGTATTGTAGTTTGCATTTTATCCTAATAGGTTTTCATTATTTGTATTCCTAATAATAAATTATTGCCAAGTAACATTAAAACTGTAATGCTAGCCGGCTATAGTGGCAGAGGCAAGCAGATCTCTATGAGTTCAAGGCCAGCCTGGGCTGCAAGAGCTGGTTCCAGGACAGGCTCCAAAGCTACAGAGAAACCCTGTCTCGAAAACCAAAAAAAAAAAAAAAACCTGTTATCTTTTATAGTGGTTTGACACTAAAGAAACAGAACACAAAGTTTCCACTAACTTCCTCAGGAGCTAAGCAAGGTGAAAAAACTGTGTTACAGAGTAATCTAAAGGCAAAATTGCAAAATTAGCCACTTTTATAGATAATGGCCCTTAGGTATTCAAAGAACAGTAACTTCTTACACCAGGCAAACAGAAGATTGCTACCTTCACTGCCTGATCTTAAGTGCTTGAAGAAGGGATTGGGTTGTAGCTCAGCTGATAGAGTGCTTGCCTAGCATGCAGAAGCCCTGGGTTCCATTCCTTGCACCACATAACTGGGTGTGGAGGTGTCATCTTGTAATCCTAGCACTCTGGAGGTGGAGGCAGGAGAATAAAGAGCTCAAGGCCAGCCTGAAATTCATGAGACCCTTTCTGAAAAATAAAAACAATTTGAAAATATTTAGCTAGCTATGGTGGCATATGCCTCTAGCACTTTGGGAGTTAGAGCAGGAGGATTAAGGAGTTTCAGGCCAGCTTGATCTACAATAGACACCCTATTAAAAAAAAAAGGGCAGGATGGAGTAGGTTGGAGAGAGAGAGATGGTTCAGTGCTTGCTGTATAAGCAAAGGGCCAAATTTGGGTCCCAGCACCTCTAAAAAGCTGGGGTAGGGGATGAAGACGGGTTTGCTGGCAGTCATATCAACCTACTAAACAGAGCTGCAGCTTCAGGAAGTGATCCTGTCTCAAGGGAATAAAGGGAGAGAGATAGAGAGCTCTATCCCCTCTGGTGCACCCATACATACAGATAGGCATATAAGTATATACTACATACACAAGTCAGGTATGGTGTTTACACTTGTAATCCCAACATTTGGAGACTGCAGTAGGATTGACTATAAATTCCAGGTCAGTCTGGCCTATATAGAAAGTTCCATGGTAGTCTGGAGTGAAATGAGACCCCATCTGATAAAAACCAAAATTGACCCAGTAAGATACCTGGGGGAGTAAAGGTACTTGTTGTCAAGCCTTGACTTCCTGAGTTAGATTCCAGGAACTGACACAGTAGGAGAGAACTGCCTCCCAAAGTTGTCTCTGACCTGCATACATCCCTTACCCCGAATATAATGTGGGTTTTTTTTTTTGTTTGTTTGTGTTTTCAAAGATACTTTTCTAAACTGTTAATGGGAGCGAGAGGCAGCAGCGGACTGTTTAAGGCCAGCTTGAGGTACATAGAGAAAATACAAAGAAAGCTAAAACACAACATTTAACCCAAAATTCTTTTTAAAACACTAGTGAGAGTTTACAGAGAAGCTATAAATAGTGAAATTTCACTAACACCTTGGAAAGAACAAGGTGAGTTTTATTTTTAATTAGTATTTGTAGATACAAGCCCTCACTTCTTGGGTAAATAAGTGAGATTGCTATGTTGTATAACGTGTTTAGCTTTATTGTTCATCATAATTGCACCGAATGACAATCCCACTTGGTGTATGGGCTCCAGCTGTCCTTGTTTGCCTTAGTTACTCTTCCTACCTTTAGCCTTTTTTTTTTTAAAGATTTATTTTATGCCCATGAATGTTTTTCCTGTATGTGTGTTTATGTTCACCACATTTGTGCCTGGTGATTTGGAGGTAAGAAGAGAGTGTATAGAACTGGAGTTAAGGATAGCTGTGAATCACCATGGAGGTGCTGGGAATGAAATCTAGCTCTTCTGCAAAAGCAACAAATGCTCTTAACTGCTGAACCATCTCTTCAGCCCTAAATTTAGCCTTTTGGAAGGAGGTGTATAGAAGTATATTGCTTTAGTTTGTATTTCTCTAGTGGCTAAGGATATTAAATATCCTTTTGTTTTCTTTTATATCCATGTACATTGGTTAAATGTGAAGATTACCTTTTAAATATACATTTTTACATACATGTATGTGTATCTGACTGTTTTGGTACAAGTCCTTAACCAAATAGATTATAATTTTTATTTTATTTTATTTTTGAGACATTCTCACTATATGTAACTGTGGTTGGCCTGAAACTTAGTATGTGTGCCAAGCTGACCTCAGATTCACTGAGTCCCACCTGCTTGTAGACAGAAGTTTCTGTCCTGCCTGGTCCTACAACCCTTCAGTCCCAAATAAAAGCATGGGCTTATATTAATTATAAACTGTTTGGTCTATTGCTCAGGTTTATTACTAACTAGCTCTTACAACTTAAATTAACCCATAAT